GACACAATCGATAACCTTCGAAATCTAACGTTGCGATATAATTTCGAAGGTTTTCGAATTAATATAATTACTGATGATTTAAATAAGCTCATAATGTATTAGGTGTATTTATAGCAGGATTACCATAAGTAAAGGGATCATTAGCTGGTACTGGAGCAAATTTACCTCCTACCTTACTTTTTAAAACATTACATTTAACAGCATCATTAAAGTCTCCTGCATTTGTATTTTCAAAAGCCGTCATTTGAGGTATCGCAATAGACCATGCCTGTTCTAATGTATTTATATAATCATCAGGTGGCATTTGTCCTATATATTGTGGAATTGGTTGAAAAGATTGATATATCAATTTTAATACTGGTCGTCATCTAGCTTCTGCTATATTTTGTGGGTTATTTTGTAACAATAAAATTTGTCCCTGTAAATTTAAAATTAATTGTCGCTCATCTTTCGTTTTATTCTTCCATTTTTCATATCTATCAAAAATTCGATCGCGATTATATTCTAATAATTCATTTTCAGTACGACAGGTATTTAACTGCCTTTTATATCATTGCTGTTCATTTGTTAAATAAGTTTGATAATTTGTATATTTTAGTCGAATCTGCCTTGTAGCTCTTTTTATTTGGTTGGCTAAAACAGTTCTGTTTATTCTAGTATTATCTAAATAGCCCTCTATGGCATCGACTAATTCTGGAATTGTTGTCATATCTGAATCGGAAGTATAACTATCCTGAGAATTTTTATCTGAATCATTTCCATCTTCTGAATTTGATTCATTATCTATGTTCCATGCCTCTGCAACACGTAAAGTTTCTCGGGTATTGACAAGTTCCAATTTATCCCGATAATGCAATAACTTAATACCAAAATTTTGGCAATGCAAATCAGTTATACGAGTTTTTTTCTGGGCTAATTTATTGTCTCGATCTCTAAGATTATATTTTAAAGTATCGATTTCACGTTTCAAACGCTCATTCTCATCTATTAGCTTTGCTGTCTGATTATATGATTTGGAGGTATTACCTGCTGATTTGAATATTTCCCGAATTCGGGTTTTGAGTTTCTTCTCCCTTACATCAAATTCTGCTAGTTGATTTTCCCTGGTAATAAGTTCCTTGTCTTTTTGTTCAATTTTCTTTTTAAGCTGGTAAACAATTTTTTTTAGATCTGATATCTTTTTTTCTAATTCCTCCCTTTCTTGTATTGAAAGTTCGATTGTATTTGCTAGCTTCTCCTCGAGATATCGGATCCTTTCTTCATGCAAAACTATATCCCGTTCAAGGTTATATGTTCGACGCTCATATTCCCGGTTTGATTGAGCCAATCGATCGATTTCATCATGAAGTTCTTGATTAGCTTGACGTAAATCATCCATGTTTTTTATTCACTATAATAATAAAAGTTATGAGTGAAGAAACAAAGTTTCGAACCTCTGGTTCACTTGTAATTTATATTGACTCACAAAGGGCTCGTGAACTTGACCGTGAAATTGCTTTACAAAAATTATATTACCATCCTGAAGGGTACTATCGAACTGCTGAAAAAATAAGAGATGCTTGCAGAAAAGCTGGTTATAATTTTTCGTTAACTCAGATCAAAGAATGGTTAAATAAACAGATCACTTTTTTAGTTCATAAACCTCAACCAAAATTTATTCAGTATGCATCTTTTAATGGGATTCGAGATTTAAATGAAATGCATCAATCTGATCTTACTCCTATGCCTCACGATAAAATTGGTAATCAAATTTTTAAATATAGGCTTGTGATAAAAGATGTGGCAACTAGATATCGCAAAAGTTGTGCATTAACGAATAAATCAACTTCTACACTAGCTAAAGCAATTAAGAAAATTTATGAGAATTCTAGTCATTCACTTTCTTGGCCTAACGTTTTTAGAACTGATAAAGGTACTGAGTATTTAGCTGAGTGTAAAGATTTATTATTAAGTCATGGTGTATATTTCGATCCCAAAAAATCCAAACGCAGTAATGCAATTGGCGAACGTGATCATTAAGAATTTGAAAAACATGCTTATATTCGTCAGGATGCAGTTGACTTCCTTTTACCTTTATCTGAAAGATGTACATCTTGGGTTAAAGATCTTTGTAATAATGATGACATTTATAATGATACTTCTACCTGATTAATTCATATGTCACCTAATGAAGCTGTAAAGAGAGCATTAAAAGGGAAAAAAATAATTGCTGATCCTGCTATTAAACATCGAAGGTCTATTGGATTTGATGAACCTCAGTTAACCTATAAAGATTATGTTTTATATTTACTCGAACCTGGAGAGTTAGAATTTGATAATAGACGCATAACTGACATGAATTGGTCTCCTCAAATTTACTATATTAAAGAATTGCTGGTACAAAAAAATCAACTGGTATTATATTGGTTGGAAGATATTGATGGCAATGGACCAAAGTGGTCTTTTGTTCGAGAAGAATTGATGATAGTTAGAAATATTGAATACCCACCTCAGAGGATACTCAAGAGTTAAGGAAATCATCTGCCTCTTCTTCAATTTCTTCATTAGTAGCAAAGTGGTCTTTGACTAATTGGTAATATAATGCATTAAGTTTTAATATGGCTTGGAGAATTTCTGGTTCGTTTTTATACCATTCCTGATATTGTCTTTTCATTGCAATATATTTTACCTCATTGGGAATATATTCTTTTGCGTTGTTTAAGATATAAATATTTGGATCTTCAGCTTGGTGTAAATTGGTATATCGTTTTTTATAACCTTGCATGAATTTCTTATCCTTTTTCTTTTTATATAATACCCCAGCTTGAGTTACTTTAACTATAGCTTTTTCGATATCTTGTCATGTAGGTTTGGAGGGTGTAACCTCTGTAGACACTTGATCGATATTTTGAGTAGAAGTTGACATTTGAATATATATTATGTTTGGATTATCTAAAGTTTTGTATTTAATACTTTATAAAATCTTTTCTTTAAATAAATATTTCGGTATAATAAAAATGATAGGTGAATATACCTGTCCATTCTATCATAATTCCGGTAAAGTTTGTGGAAGAAGCTGTATGCGAGTTGAAGGGTATAGTTATCATTGGAAAGCTAAAAAACGTGTCCCTTGTAGTGATTGTGGGAAGCCTACTGGTTTTGCTAGTAGTCGATGTCCAGTGCATATCAGAGGTTATTATATTACTCAATACTATAATAGACTTCGATCAAATATACGAGAAAGATCTTATGATGAAATATTGAATATACTTTTATCAAATGTACCAGAAAAAACTTATGAGGAAATAATGGATGTTTATGGAGACACACTTACAAATCTTAATATTACTCTTTGTAAAGAATGCTTACTTCCGATAAAAATAAAAGAGGAAGAATATTGTAATAGTTGTCTACCGGATTCAGTGCTATAGTAGATTACGTGATAGGGTTTCAAAATTAGATTCTTGATGAGCGAAAAACCTAGCATAGAATTTTGTTAGACTTGGTATATATATCAATAAATTTTGTTAGACTTGGCGTATATATCATTTTTTTTGTTAGACTTAATATATATATTGATAAATTTTGGTACACTTGAATATAAATTTTTGTTAGACTTAACATATATATATAGTTTTTGTTAGATTTTTGTGGGCCAAAAAAGTAGTGAAGAATCGTCTTTAGAATGAATTCTATTATATTAAATAATATCATAAATAATTGTTATCCTTTTTGATATGCATTTGGGTAAATGAATATGTTCTTGATATATAAAAATTAACATACTTTGATATGAAAATGCGGTGAAAAAAATAAATCACGCCACATACTTGGGGCGAAAAAATTAAATCATGCCACATACTTGGGGTGGTATAGTTGGCGGCTTTCCTGTGTGGTGAAAAAAGCAAAATGATGTATGAAAAATGATATGCTTGGTGATGATTTCGGAGTGTGAAATATAGCAAGTTGACTAGTGTTGGGCCAGAACACCCATTTTTACTTTACTTTTTTGGATATTGCAGATTTATTCGTCCTGTCCTCCGGAGTACAGAGATATGAGCATAGGGACAGTTCGTTTTTATTAGCTGGTGATCAATAGTGATCACAATAATGATCAACACTTATGATTGGTTAAAATGATAAATATTTTTTAATAACAATAAATATTTTTTTTAAGCGCGAGCGTATTAAACAAAAAATTATTTCATTATGTCTTGAAAAAAAAATTCTGGTCTTTTCAAGTATCCCGCTTTCGTCAAATTACTTTATTAACACTGTTATCCGTGTAAACCTTCTACAATTTACAAAGACAACAGGTGAAATAATACTAAAACTAATAAACAAAAACTAAATAAAACTATAAGAATTACTAATCTCACAACAAAATTATCACAATACAAGGATTTATACGTAGAAGGAATTAAGTACGATCAATTATGAAAGAGGCGTATTTAACTATTAACAGTGGTATGAAGACTTG